CAGTGATATCGCCACGTTGTATGCAGTTTGTATATTCATCAGCTAAAAGGTTGCAACACTTTTTTCGGAATGTAGCCTGCTTACCGGACATCCTGTATAATATCAATTTGGTTCTTACTTATGAATCTAATCATTTATCTTTAATTGCTCAACGAGCAAGGCTAAGTTCCGAAACCAATTTAAAAAAGTGTTGCAATCTTTTAGCTGATAAGTATATACGATTTATTCATAAAGTATCGAGTAAAATGTAATCGCTCATGAATTACATTTGCATAAACAATGAAGATTGCAACACAAATCTAAATTGACTTGTGAGAACCTCAGGGGGGATTCGGGAATAAAAAAATTTATTTCTTGCCGAGAAATATAAGAGAATTCAAGAAGATGAAATCTTCAAATATAAAATAGCAAAAAATGCAGGATAAAAGCACAGTGGACAAAATAAAGATATAATTGACTAGCAAATTTTGTCATATTTTTGTAACATGGTTTAAAATAACTTTATTCATGAATTTCTTCTTTAAATGTTTGACATTTAAAGAACTTGACTGGATACACAGATGCGACATAGAGAAACAACAACATTCAGTGTGATAAATAAAATGCTTTATTCTATTCTTTTCTATCGTAAAATTCAGTATTATTGCAATTTTTGTAATTAGATAGGAATGATTTTCTCAGCAAAACTTGTTTCTCATGAACGATTAATTATAGAAACGTGTTTCTCGGAAAGATCTTCTGTCGCGATGTATGTATCCTGGTGCGGGTATTCAAAGTAAATTAAATCCATTTACTTTGAATACTCTACTCGAGCACCTTTCTTAAGTCGGCGCTCCAAGTTTGCACGTATACGCGCACATATTTGACGAAGCAATTTTCAGGTACATGCTACAACCGGAGGAGAGCAACGTTGATGAGTATTATTTATTGGTGAATGGTTCCATTTTCGCGCCGCGACTCGATCATGTACCGATTATGTTGATGCCCGGTAAGAACTATTGCATGGAGATTGTGCCCGAGCTGGGACTTCGAGCATTTGTCTGTTTTCAAGGTTTGTACTCTTTAATATTTAATAATTATTTTCTTGAGTTGAAAAACATTCAGAGAATTTACAGAGAAATTCAGAAGAATTATAAAGATTAAATATTTTCATATGTTATAAATAAGTGATATACTTAGATAAAAATAGAAGGATTTTGATAAGATTGTTTTTCAAAGGAACTGAAATCAGACAGACAATCTTTCCATTCTTCTATTATCTTTTAGCTGTCACTTATCTATCTCTATATATTTTGTATAAAGATATTCATCAATGCCTCATTGGTAATCCTTGTGAATATTTCCGTGAATCCTCTGAATGTTTCAAACCAAGAGAATAATTATTACTTGTTCGTACAACGAATTATTTATTTATATAAAAAAGTTCATATTTACCATATCACAGAAAATTGACAATTTATTGACGTGTAATTTCTTTTATGTTTCCTCGCACTTAAGTCTTTTAATGTAAACGCAACAATTGCAGATGTTCCGCCGCCGCCGACGGATCCACGGGTCATTATTTATGCCTGCGGGCTCCTGATCTCAGTTCCTTTTCTGATACTTACCATTGCGGCATACACCATAACGCCAAGATTGAGGGACGTCCACGGAAAAGCCCTTTGCCTCTATTGCGGCTGCTTGGCGCTGGCCTTTACCACTTTGGCGATTACGCAACTCGCAAGCGGACAATTATCGCCTCAAGTCTGCGTTAGTATAGGTAAGATAATTAATGAGAAACGTATTTAATCGTGACACTATTAAATAAAAATACATATAATGTACATATAGTAATAATACAATTTTAGAAAATCATGATTTATGACCAGAAATAAAAAATTTCCATTTTTTTTTAAATAGTAAGTCAGGAAAATCGACGAAAAATGTTCAACTCAAATAATCTTTTTTTTTTTTTTAAATTACACTACTGCCTGAGCGTTTAATCGAATTTAATCTTCTGAATCGAGTTACAAGAATATCGTTATAGAAATTTGAAGATAGACAGTAATAAGTTGTAACTGATAATCTTCAAGCTTGTACAATTCGAATATTGGACTTTGGACTGTTACTTTTACGGACAATGAATGAGTGGGTATAATTTCGGCGATGTCGTGTAGAGGTACAGGAGGTTCGCTTTAGGAAGTATGACGACACACGCATGACAAGCAGATTGATTGAGAGACTGAGATCGGCGTCGTTTTCAGCATTCGTCATCCAATTCTCGTTCGTGGCCTGCTTCTTCTGGCTGAATGTGATGTGCATCGAAACATGGGCATTGGTACATCACCATGTGAACCAGCGCTCGTACAGGAGAATCCAGCCTAAAACGCTGTTCTTCTACTACTCGATATGGGCCTGGGGCTTCCCGGCGGGCCTCATTCTCATCTCGATGTTGATGGATCTCAGTCCTACAATACCCATGACCTACGTTAAGCCCGCTTTTGGTAGCGAGAGCTGCTGGTTCAGATGTAAGTTTCTCGATCCATTTACAGGACTTGTAATTACGTCTCATTGCCATCACGAATACGCACACCAAAGAAACTTTTTTGGTATCGTGCAATTCTATTTTTACTCCCCCCATCTACAATCTGAGTCTTTTTTGTCTAGCTCGAATTTTTTTTACAGTTTTAGACTTTCACAACATGTGGAAAAATTCAGAGTTACTTCTAAACATTTCTATTACATTACCAAATAGATTCTCAACTTAAATGTTAAGACCTTCATTTAATAAAAATTGAAATTTTAGTAATATTGAGGTAAAAATGAAAATATGTATAATTTAGCAATAAAGGTATCGAATTCAGTCCTTCTTTATTTCGGAGAAATTTCACTAGTGCCAAAAAAAATCTAAATTGAAGATGGAAGATTAAATATATTTTCCCACAGTTAGACAAAATAAATACGTGCGATTCGATCTAATCATTGTGAGCCTAACAATTCCTATCATAGTAATATAAAATCATCAAACTTTTTGGTTTGAACATCTGTCGTTTTGCTTATTATCTTCATTCACTATCAGAAAAAGTGCAAGTGTTAATTATTATCGCTCTTTTTATAGCCGATGCGGAAGCTTTGCCGTATTTCTACGTACCAGTCGGTATCCTTCTGTTAGCGAACATGATTCTCTTCATAATCACTGCCATCATGATCAGCCGGTACCAGCAAGTGCTCGCGTTGAGACGCTTAGCGAGGAATCACCATTCCGATCGGGAGGATCAAAGACTCTTCCGCAGACTCAAGCGGGTCTTCACCGTTTGCCTTGTACTCTTCTTTTTGATGGGTCTCAATTGGATGATGGAATTAATTTCTTGGGGGGTTGGCGGTGATCCTTTCGACTGGACGGCGTTCGATTTGGTGAACGCACTTCAGGGTGTCCTCGTCTTCGGTCTGTTCGTTCTGAGAAGGCCTATCAGAGACTTCGTTTGGCATAGAATACAGAAGATACGGGGAATAAACACCACGGAACTAAACGTCGGAAGCATGGACCTGGCGCTATTACCCGTAATAAACGGCGATATCCCACAGAGATCGTATAATTCTTAGAAAAGTTCTTAGAAGAAGACTGATCTTTTCCTAAACGTGACAAGATGATGCATTTAATGCAGGCCGAAGTGATATCGACTGTAAACTTAATGCAATCGATAAACCGATAAACCAATGGACCGACAAAAGGTAGGAGCCGGGATATATGGTCTCACGTCAATGAGATGAAAGTTATTTTAATTTCGCTGTGTGCAATAGCAAAACGGAGCGACCTTCTCGAACGATGACGCTCATGAAGAGATACAAAATATCTCTTATTGGTGTGATTTCGTTGCAAATCACTCGAGAAACTCACTCAAGTTAACTAGCCTGCGAAATCCGATGCAAGGAACTTTCGCCTAAAGGAGATTATTTATAAATATTTAATTAAATCACAATTTTTATAAGTAATAGTTTCTAGTCTTTTTTTTTTGCAATAATCTAATTGTAAATATCAATGCGCAGGTTGAGACGTTTTAATTTCGAGTAAAATGCATCGACAGAGGAAACATACAACATGACTTTGCGCGCGTTCAGTTACAAGTATTTCGCGATGTTATGTGAAAATCTTTTTCTGCAAGGTAACATGTTACGTAAAACGCATTATTCGTCCACCTCCGCAAAATATAGTACATATTGCGATGTTACTGCGCTAATTATACAACTGTGGAAACAAACAACGGATGAACCTCGCTCAAGGATCTCAAATGATAAGAATGTAATTTGTGCAATTAAATATGTGTGAGAACCGGCTGTAATTCTAAATTGATGTTCATTAAGTGCGGCTAAGTGATTATACATAGTAGTATTACGATAATACTTGTAGTTCTTCAATTCACGCCGCAAGTCGATGTTCACATCGATAATGTTACCATGCCTTGTGTACTTATACATTGCTTATTGTTAAACGGAACAACAATGCGATACAATAATATCATTGTGCGAAGCCTTCATTTCATGAATCCGGTGTGACACGTTATGTTAATACATTACAAATATATTAAATCTAAACAAAAGCGCAGCATAGTGAATATTGAATAGAGTACGTCAAAACGTGTTTATACATCAATTATAAATTCATCGAAAATACGTCAATATCGCGTATCGCGGTATATTCAGGAGGCGGGGAGGGAGAAGAGTTGGGGGTGGAAAAACAAGTTTTGCATAATATTGTTATCGAATTGTATTGTTGTCCCGTATGTAGCTAGCACATTATTTATTGTCGTACTAGACATCATAATTTATTGAAGAAATTGTGCATAGAATAGAACGACGAGGCAAATGAGTCAAAATAAATAACAAATATTAATATCCTTTATTCTTGCTTTCCCTT